GAACAGGACGGGTCCCTACACGCCCATCGCGATCACCCACCGCCACTGCCGCAACGGGGAAGTGGACCTCCATGAGTCCCAACACAACCTCGTACACGTGCTCCCCGCCCGCCTCCCCGCCCCGCTCACCTTTGCCTCTCAAACGGCCCAATTCCCGACCCCCGTGGGAATGCTCACTCCGCTCGTGATCGTAATCGCCTCTCTCGCGATGCAGGTGCACGTGAGCAAGGGATCCGTGAGCGTGACGCTGCCGGTGTCGATGAAGGCCGGCAAGTGGTACTACGAGGTCACCCTGCGCGCCAACAGCACCGCGAACGCGCGCTTCGGCTGGGGTCTCCTCGGCGACGCCGTACGTAGCCACATACGACACCACAGCGTCACACCGCGCAGTCAGCGCCAGCGCCAGCATCACAGCACCACCGACCTGCTTTCATGCCAATGGACCAATGGCGCCGCAAATCGCGGACCTGACCCTGTTTGGGGACATGCGTGCGTGCGTGCGTGCGTGCGTGCGGGGGGCGGGGGCGGGGGGAGTACAGAATGAGATGACGGGAGCCGGGGAGGAGTCGTACGGCTTCGACCCGCACACCTACGACAAGTGGCACAACAACGAGCAGACCTCCTTCGGCCGGCAGTGGAAGGAGGGCGACGTGCTCGGCGTACGCCACTGCCTCTGCACGACCCGCCTGCACGCTTCGCACACGACCAACAGCCAACGACACGGCGCCGCAGGTGCACACGATTCGCGCTAACACCCGGCTGGTGCGTGGGGTGGACAGGTGCAACTGGACCTCGACAGCAACCCGCCAGTCATCGGCTACCACCTCAACGGCGAGAGCTTCGGCCCCGGTACCCTATACTTCCCATATACTTCCTGCCTTCCAGCCGCCCATGGGTCAACTCTCGAAGGAATTGGGGTGTTATGATTGGTACTGATCGATCATGGGTGGCGGTGGCGGTGGCGGTGGTGATCATGGTGTTCCCCCGAAATGTGCGCAGCATTCAGCGCGAGGGAGGGGCTGTACCGGCCTTCGATCACGCTGGAGGCCGGCAACAAGGTGGCCTTCAACTTCGGCGCCGAGCCCTTCCTCTTCGCGCCCGAGGGCTACCAGCCCGTCGACGTCTCCGCCAAGATCCCCCCCGGTAGGGACTCTACTTACGGCCCCGACCCATGATGATGATGATGATGATGATGAACCGGCCCTGGCCTTGGCCTTACCTGGTGGGATGGTGTGTGGTGTGGTGTGGTGTGGTGATGGCGTGGTGTGGTGTGGTGTGGTGTGGTGTGGTGTGGTGTGGTGTGGTGTGGTGGTGTGGTGTGGTGTGGTGATGGCGTGGTGTGGTGGTGTGGTGGTGTGGTGGTGGTGGATGGTGTGGTTACGTCGTTGGGTGCAGAGGAGAGCCGGGTGGGCCGGGCCAAGCCGCCGTTCGTGGTGCGGGCCGTGATGGAGCAGGAGGACATCATCTCCCGCTTCCTCACCCGCCAGCCCCTGCCCCTCTTGTTCCTCGAGGACGCCATGGTGCGCACCATGGCCATTCCCTTCGCTCTTTCCCTTGGGGGGGGGCGTGGGCGTTCTCACATCTACTACGGTGGTGGTCGTGTTGTGTACGTACGTACGTGCGCGGGGTGGCAACGCGTGCAGGCCAACAAGGAGTTCCTCCTGTTCGACCCCAAGCTCGGCGAGATGGACCTCAACGACCTCTTCTTCTGTACGCCCCCCCCCCACATCCATCCACGACGCACACGACCAACGACACGATGGCTGGCCTGGCCTGGGCCACTCACACAGTGCGTCGTGTGCGTGCGTGCGTGTGCGTGCGTGTGCGTGCGTGTGCGTGCGTTTGGTCGTGCAGACTACCTGCAGCGTAGCAACAACGACGGGGCGGATTGGAGCATGGAGCGGGACGAGCAGCTGGTGCAGGTCATGAACCGCATCTGCGCGGCCAAGGACGACGACCCCATGGAGGTGGCGCCCGAGTCAATCACGCTCACCGACACCATCGGCCTCCAGTTCCCGGAGATTGCTGCCCTCCCGCACACCGCCCTCGTCGCCCGCTTCTACGTCCTCAAGCGCGTACGCCCCCCCCCTCCCACTCGCCCACCTTCACTGACGTCACCTTATCGTCGCTAATGACGCTGACGCCATCGTCTGGCGGTGACGACGTCTTCTACGTATGCCTCAATCAAGGTCTGATCCTAATCCATCAATTGTGGTTTCTCGTGTGGTGGCGGTGGCGGTGGTGGTGGTGGTGGTGGTTGTTCTCTCTTCTCTGTGGGAGGGCAGTTGAATCTGCTGTTCAAGGCCCTGTGCAACGTGGTGGACTGCAGCCGCATGACGGTCAACCCGATCCCCGTGGGCCGCGGCATGGCCCTGACGCCGGCGCAGCTGGAGGGCCGCGGCCTGGCGAGTCTCGTGTGGCACGCGCGCCGCCTCGTGTTCTTCAACGTCAAGCGCGAGCTCGGCCGCAGCATCTGCAAGCAGACCGAGGTCGGGCGTGACCCCCACGTCTTCCGCTTCAACCGCCTCAAGGCCATCAAGAATGCCAAGAGTACGCGCGCCACACCCCCTACCACCTCGCTTTCTTCATCGATGCGCTGATCCACTGCGCGTGTGTGTCGTGTGTGTCGTGTGCGTACACGATCTGCAGACAAGGCCAACGATGGGCTGCACACGCTGTTCGGGCAGCTGCACACGCAGCTGGACACGATGGCGGACCTGTCGGTGCTGCGACAGGCCGAGCGCGGGTGGAAGGTGGACTTCCAGGGCGAGGGCGCCACGGATCAGGGCGGCCCGTACCGCGAGTCGGTGACGCAGATCTCGCTGGAGCTGCACGGGGAGGCCCTGCCGCTGCTCATCCCGTCGCCCAACAAGCGGCTCGACGTGGGCGACACGCGCGAGAAGTTCGTACCCAACCCCCGCGCCACGTCGCCCCTCCACCTGCGCCTCTACCGCGTACGTGCCCTCTTTCCCGACACTCAGAAAGCCACACACGCCACACACACCTATGTGGCACCGCGTGCTGGCTGCATTTATTTGGCCTCGCATCGGGCCGCCAACACCAACATCGCATGCTATCATGGCGGGGCGCGGGGCGTCATGCAGACGATGGGCGTTGTGATGGGCATCTGCATCCGCACCCGGGGAGCCATCGACCTGCGCCTGCCCTCCCTGTTCTGGAAGTTCTTCGTACGGTTTCCCCCACCCCACCCCACCTCACCCCACCCATTGCGCTGCGCCAACCTATGGCCATCGTTGGCACACACGACACTGACACACACGAGACGAGACGAGACTACACACACACGACACACACACGACACACACGACACACACGACACACACGACACACATACGACACACACGACACACACACACACACACACACACGACACACACACACACACACGCGACACACACGTGTGTGGGTGAGCCCTCACGAGACTGACGACCCAACAAAAAAACAAACGCCACCACGGGACTCGTGCGCGCAGGTGGGCGAGGAGACCACGCTTGGCGATCTGGAGATCTTCGACTGCGTGTCGGCCCAGTTCATCCGCAACATCGAGACCCAACTCACCAGCCCCGGTACCAACCGCCCAACCGCCACCCGTCTCTCCCCTTTCCCAATCCGCCACTGAAACACACGACGCACACAACACACGAAAGCCGACAAACATAAATTCTTGTGTCGTGTCGTGTGTCTCGTGTGTAAAATATCTAACCGGCACGGCGGCGATGATTGACAGAGCTCTTCGAGGCGGTCTACGACGATCTGACCTTCACCACGACCCTGAGCGACGGCAGCAAGGTGGAGCTCAAGGAGGGCGGCGCGCGTGAGGTGGTCACCTTCGCCACGCGCCTCGAGTACCTGCGGCTCATCCTCGAGACGCGGTTGTCCGAATGCACGCGGCAGCTGGAGGCCGTGCGCGAGGGCCTGCGGCAGATCGTGCCCGTGGAGACGCTCAAGTACCTGACGTGGCAGGAGATGGAGAGCCTCGTGGTGGGCCGCATAGACTTCGACGTCGAGTGGCTGCAGAAGCGCACGCGCTACTACGGGTCCATCTCGGCGTCACACCCGACAGTGGCCATGCTCTGGGAGGTGCTCGCCGAGGTGGGACCCGACGAACGCGCCAAATTCCGTACGTTCCCTTCTCCCTTCTCCTCTCTCCTCTCCCTCTCCGCCTTCGCCTGCGGGTTCTCCTTTTCTGAAGGTGCGAACCATCTTTGTGTCGAATGTGTGCGCGTGGGCGTGCGTGGCGGCGACGCAGTGCGCTTCGTGTACGGCCAGTCGCGATTGGCGCCGTCCTACGCGGGAACCAATCTGGAGTTTACCATCGAGGCCCTGGAACGCAGCGGCAGCCCCAACGACTTCCTCCCCGAGGCGATGGTGCGCTCTCTATCCCTCTCTCTCTCTCACGCACACACATCATCATCATCTCCCCATATCATCGATCTCCCTCCCACCCCTTGTGGCTAATCCTCTGCGGTTCCCGTAGACCTGCGCGTTCAAGCTGAAGCTGCCCCTCTACACCAACAAGGCCAGCCTCAAGACCAAGGCATTGTCCTCATCCTCTTCTTTATGTGGGCGAGTTTTCGGTGGTTGACATGTTCGGGGGGGATGGTGCGTGCAGTTGATGTACGCCATCCACAACACGGCCGAGATCGATTCGGACTACGTGCCCTCCACGCAGTGGGACCCGCAGGACATGCAGACCTCCGACGACGAGGACGAGCAGGAGACCGACGGGATTGCGCAGGAGCCCATCCCGTCGGGAATTCAGTCGCCTCGGATCAGCTCGACGTCCTCCAGCTCGACAGGTGGGCTCTTCGACTAGTCTCTCTGTTCACCACCACTCTTTTCAGAGTCCCCCAACGTTATAAAAATAAACGTCAAAAACGTAAAATAAACGTCAAAAACGTAATAATAACATTTTTTTATAAATCTATTTCCTTCGTCCGCTCATCCGTGTGGGCGCTTGTTCTTCTGAACACGCTTGTTCAGGCCTCGGCCTCCGTGGAGGACCTATGCTGCGCGTGGTCGTCCTGCTCCTTCGTCTCCTGGTCGTTGGTCTCGTTGCCGCGGCTGCTGGTCTTCTCTCGCGGCGGCGGCTTGGCATCGGACTCACTGTCGCTGCTGTCCTCGCTGTCGCTGCTGTCTCGGTGCCGCCGGTGCCGGCCGTGCCTCTCGGCAGCGTCGCTGTCCGAGCCGTCGTCGTGGTGGTGGTGGGTGGTTGCCCCACCGTCGTTGAAGGCGTAGCAGATGTGCGGTTTGGCCTCCGTCTTGCGGAACCGCGACACGAGCTTGCGATGCTCGCCCCATTGCGCCTCCTGCAACCGTCCGCCACGACGACGACGACGGCATATGATGACCACACGTTAGCCGAACTCGCGAGGACGGAGGGAATGGGGAGGGAGGGAGGGCGCCGTAAGTACGAGCTCCTTGCGCTGGTGCTCCTCGATCTGCTGGGTGAGCTCCTCGCGCAGCGCCTGGTGCTTCTCCTTCTCCTCGGCCAGACGCCTCTCCTCCTCCTTGACCAGGGTCTCGGATTCCTCCTTGACCTTCTCCTCCACTTGCTTCGTGATCTGCTCACGCACGCGCTCCTGTTTCGGTTGCATCATCGCCCACCCGCCCGTCAGCCACACGTGACCACACGCACGACCCGAGCACGCGAGCACGCACCTTTTCGGCGACGGCCGTCTGGTCCTTGCGGAAGCGCTGGAGGGTGCCGAGGAGGACGCCGAACACCCGCCTGTTCCTCGTGGCATCGCCGCCCGCCTTTTTGACCCACTCCTTCTCCCGCTCCTCCCGCTCCTTCTGCCTACGCTCCTCCCGCTCCTCCCTTCCCCCCTCGCTGTCGTGGCCGCCCCGCCGGAACTCCTCCCGCCCGCCCCGCTCCTCCCCGACGGCCCGTCGCTTCACACGACACACACCACGCATGACACACAACACGCACGACACACACGACACCACGACACGCACGACGCACGGCACGCATGACACACGACGCACACGACGCACACGACACGCATGACACACACAACACACGGCATACATGACACACGACGCACACGACGCACGGCACGCATGACACACGACGCACATGACACACACACACACACACACACACACAACACACGGCACACGGCACACGACGCACACGACACACGGCATGCATGACACACGACGCACACGACACCACAAAGTAGTGGCGTGAGTGGAGACGCGCAGATGTGCAGCCATGGCGGGGTGGGCGGGCGAGTCGGTCGGTCGGGAGGGGGGGGGGGGGGGTAAGGTACCTTGTGGGTGCTGGCCACGTGGTCGTGGTCGTCGGCGCCGCGCTCCGGGTTTCTGCCTTCTCGAGCTCGCTTGCGGCCGCGGCCCTCGTCCTCTTCGTCCGCGGCGGCGGCAGCGGCGGCGTGTGAGGTGAGCACGGCCGAGGACAGCAGGCGCCGCTTCGGCTGAGTCGCGTCAGGGTCGGACACCGCGTCGTCATGAGGCCCTGCATCTGGACCCCCGTTCTCGTTCTCCCGGCCCCGCTTGCCTCGCCCGGCTGCGCCCTTCCCTTTCCTGCAGTGGACCGCAGCGGCCAAACCCCCCCAAAAACACACAACAAGGTTCAGTGGCCACGCACGTACGCGCGGCACCTGCTGCGATTCGAAAGGCGGATGGCGGGGGTGGAGCGAGAGAAGAGGAGACCTACCCCTTGAGGTGGGCCTCTCGCGACTCGATCTCGCGGAGGCGCTTCTCTACTTCCCGTCTCCTGCGCTCGAGCTGGAACACATCAGCCATCTCGGAGAGCGGCACCTGCTCCGAGGCCGCACGAGGTCCAACGCGCTCGTTGATGGTGCGTTCGCCATCGGCCCCCACGCTAATAAGCAAGGGCTTGCGTGATTCCTCCACCTCCATTTGCTTTGCAGTCGCTGTTGGCACTCGCGAGAAAAAGAAATTTCTTTTCGCCTTTCCCCCTCCTTTTTTTTCCCGCGTTGGCTGTGGCTCTTGCGTCAGAGGCCGTGGTGGTGGTGGTGGTGCTTGTTGTGGGACAGCGGTCCCGGCACGCCCGTCGTCTTCTCGCGCACGGTTCGCAGGGCGGGGAAGGCCTTGGTGAGGCCGCTATAGATCAGCCCTGCACATGGGGTCATTCGACGCATGCCCAGGCAGGGAATGCAGTGGGGTGGGGTGGGGTGGGGTGGGGTGGGGTGGGTAAGAGAAGACACGCGGGGCCAGTGCTGCGCAGCAGGCAGGCAGGCTGGCAGGCTTTGGGGGGGGGTGGCGTACCGAGGACGACGAAGGTGCCGCCGGTGATGGCGCACAGGCGGGTGAGGAAGTGGGCGAAGGATCGGCCGGTCTCGCGGTACTGGATGACGAAGGGCGACATGTCCCACTTGATGAACACGCCCGGCAGCGGGAAGGACGAGGCGCCCGGCACGATGTGCTTGTAGTTGGTCTGCGCTGAGTACTGGTAGCCCTCGATCACGTTACCGCCCCAGTCCTCGTAGATCGTCGGCACCAGCTGGATCATGTGGTTCACCTGCATCGCATCTGCACCACACGCACGACACCCACACGGCCAACGACGATCCATGTGTGTGTGGTGAGTTCTTCCTGCCACGGTCGCGTGTGGCCGGCAAGAAAGAAAACGAGCGGCCGCGCGCGTACTGGGCTCAATCACACGCGTCCAGCTGAGAGGGTCCGTCCTCCGCGGGAAGGCCGGTCCTAGACGACACCCCCCCCCGAGACGTGGTAAGGGGCAACCGCAACGCACACACATCACACACACACATAACACACACACACACAACACGACACACACACAGAGAAAGAGAGTTCAACATACCGAAGGAAAGATGTGGGATGAAGTGCGAGACGTTGAAGGAGGCCACCTGCTCGGGCGTGATGTGGTGCACGTGGTGCTGGTGACCATCGTGCGACTGCGCGTGCCACACATGAGGGAGGCGGGACAGAATTGACAATCGAATGACCGAGAGGCGTCAGGAGATGATGGGATGTCATGGCACGGGAGAGGCGGTGATGACGCTGATGAGTGATGGATGATGATGACGACGACGACGACGGGGCGGCGGATGGATGGTGTGGGGGAGGGAGGGGAGGGGGCTGCTGGGAATGGTGGGGAGGGGTGGTACGTACCTGGGGGGCATTGCTTCCGGCGGCGATGTGGAGATTGCCCTTGACCTTCTGCACCTCGGCCTTGCCAAACACCCGGCACCCGCTCCCCTTGGGGAACTCCTCTGGTGGGTGGGTGGGTGGGGTGGGGTGGGTGGGGTGGGGTGGGGTGGGGTGGGGTGGGGTGGGGTGGGGTGGGGTGGGTGGTGAGGCAGCACACGCGTGTGAGTGCAGGCACGCGGCAGTGGCGGCAGTGGTGGGGGACCCCCGAGCAGTACCTCCAGGGGCAGGGGGTGGGTGTGGGGGGTGGAGATGTACCGGTGTGGGCCGAAGTGAACCAGGAGGAGAAGGTCTGCTGGAGGTACTGCTCGGGGTCTACGGCCTGCTTTTGGATATCCCTCCGCCCCCGCTGCGGGTCGCCAAAGTTGTCCACGATGTCCACCTCCACCTCTGGTGGTTGCCGCAATTGCCCGGTGTGTGTGTGTGTGTGTGTGTGTGTGGTGTGCGCGCGCGTGTGTGTGGTTGTGTCAAATACCAACGCGCTCGGGCGGTGGGTGGGTGGAGCGGGGTGGAGTGGGGTGGTGGGTGGAGCGGGGCGGCATATGTCTACCCTTGCACGCCAGCTGGAGGAAGACGAGCTCGAAATTGATCCACATGGTCTTCTCGCGCGTGGTGTCCACAAAGATGGTGTCTGCCTCCGCCCAAATGGCACCGCCACGCCACGCTGAGTGAGACACACCCGAGTACGCGGGTGGAAGCGGACTATTCCTCTCTTTGCTAATCATAATCATAATAAGAAGAATAAGAAGAAGAATCAGAGGTACCTTCAGTGACGACCTGGGTGTAGCTGGAGAACTCGGAGACGAAGAGGAAAAGCATCACCAGCACCCCCACAATGGTCACTGCACCACCCACCCACCCACCAGCCAGCCAGCCAGCCAGCCAGCCAGCCACCACCACCAACGGCAAAGCCACCATGTACTGTGGGCTGGGGCTGAACACAAACACACCACCGGCTTCCCCTCTAAATGGCGCGAGCGTTGCTGCTGCGGTGGTTGCAAACAGGTGGTGGTGGTGGTAGTAGTGGTAGTAGCTACTAGTGTGGTGCACACCTGGCCTGGAAAGGGAGGGGCGGGCACGTACCAGCAGCACCAGCTGAAGCTTGTTCGCGCACGTCCTCCACCGACTGCAAGTCAAGGAGGCCACAAAGTTGATTTGTTGGGTGTGGGTCGATTCTTATATGATAATTGGGGGGGAAGGGGCTACCTTGGGGAATATATCGAAGCTGCGCAGGCGCTTGGCCATCGAGCGAGGCGCACGCTGCTGCATGGCTGCACGGCAGTCAAGTCAGGAGGAGGATGGAGGGGAAAAAAAGAACGAAAGTGAGTCTAATTTTATTTCTTCGTGTATTTCTTCATTACTTTTTCCGCAGGTGGGATACCAGAACATGGGACGCAAGAAGAAGAGGGTGGACAAGCCCGTGTGCTGGTACTGCGACCGTTCCTTTGAGGACGAGAAAATCCTCATACAACACCAGAAGGCCAAGCACTACAAATGCGCTTGGTGCCACAAAAAGTACGCCCCCCCTCCGGGGCTTGGATTTAGATTGCAGGGGCGCGATTGTTCACTTATTCTATTTTTTTTGTCAGACTTTCAACGGCGGGTGGGTTGGTCATCCACTGCTCCCAGGTACACAAAGAAACAATCACCAAGTACGCACGCCCTCCTCCCGAACTCTGTCGTCGGTCTTGTCATCCTTTCTGTGTCATCGTTGCAATCGCCCACCCCCCCTTCGATTGTTCTCTCGCTGCCGGTTTTCCTTCCGTCTCTCATTATTATGCTGCCGCCCCCATACAGGGTGCCCAACGCCAAGCCGGGACGCGAAACAACGCAACACGAGATCTATGGCATGGATGGCGTGCCGGCAGGCGGCGGTGGAGGTGGTGACGACGACGACGACGGAGAGGGCGAGCCCGACTCCAAAAAGCCCCGCATCGACGATCCCTCCTCCGCTCACCTTCTTTCGCCGGGCCTGGCTGCCGCACGCCCTGGGTCGGTTCCTCTGCCTCCTCCTCTCTTCTCTCTCTCTCTCTCTCCGTTCCTCGCCATTCTCTGCGTGTTGCTGACGACACTCTCTTGCTCCCTCTCTCTTCTCTCTCTTCTCTCTTCTCTCCCTCTCGGGTGCCCATGTATGTATGTGACCGCCGCGTCAGGGGCCTGCCAGTGTCGCCGGGGATGATGGGTGGTCCAGGCGGGGGTCCACCCCAGCAGCGCATGATGGGCGGACCCGGCATGCCGCCGCCCGGCTGGAACCCCGGAGGCGTGCCAGGAATGCCGCCCCAGTACCCGCCCATGTTCGGCGGGGGCATGCCGCTCCGCCCCGGCATGCCAGGAATGCCGCCACCCTTCCCAGGGCACCACCCGATGGGCATGGGCGGCCCCGGCGGACCCCCGATGATGCCCCACCAGCAGCCGCCTCCCATGATGGGCATGGGCATGGGCATGGGCATGGGCTTCCCGGGTCCGTTCGGACAGCAGCATCAGCATCAGCCAGGCATGCCCCCTCTCCCCTTCCCTCCCGCCGGCATGCCGTTCCCATACGGCGCCCCTCCTGGCTCCCTCCCTCACATGCCCGGCATGATGATGGGCATGATGATGGGTACGTACACATTCCCCCACCC